ATCCGTTGAGATTCTGTCAGTGTCAGGGAATCTATTCTGACTTTTGATATATTCTGAATTTATATGATTTCTGATTTCCGTACGATATAATTTGATCTGATCTGTATAATTATTATTCTTATACAATTTTGACACGATTCTGTTCTGTTCTGATATGATTTGATTATGATTTCTGTACGATTCTATATGTTCTGATTTGATATATGATTCAGATATTATTTGATATTTAATTGTTCTGTTTGTTCTGTTCTGATTGATTCATTCTGTTCTGCTCTGTCAGCTCTGTACTCTGATTTTTGTATGTTTTTCTGTCTGATGTGTTTGATGTGGATTCTGAGGATTTTGATTGGAGGTTTGATGTCTTGCTGAGCTGTGTAGCTCATCCTTGTTTTTTGCGTGATTTTCAGGTTTTGGGAAAGGGAAGGAAGTCTTGGACTAGGAGTTCAGAGTCCGATCTGTTATAGGTATTTTATACTTTTGATTTTTGTACAGTCATGGCTTTTCTGTTCTGCTTTTCTTTCCGTCTGAAAGCCATGAGCTGTATTTGTATATGATTCTTTTGAGGAAGAAAAAGATAGATGATCTATTCCGCTGCATTTGATGTTCATAGTAGCTCTGTGTTTGTGCGTCTGTTTCTGTCTGTATGTTTGGAAGAAAGTTCTGAAACAAATTCCAAAGCCAGATCCTGGAATCAGTTCAGTCAGTCTGAAGTTCCGGCATCACGACCCGATGTGAGCAGGATCCGTCCCGGTCGGGTTGGTTCGTGACAAGATAGGGGTCCAAAAGATCGTAGTTGGCAAGAGACTGGGTTAGAAATACCATTGTCTGGTGATGTAGGCTGGAAGGACCATAGTAGGCGACGGAGGTAGGAAGGACCATAGTTGGTAGGAGACAGGGGTCTGAAAGATCATATTTGGCTAGAGACTGGGGTCAGAAAGACCGTTCGTTGTCTAGTGATGAAGGTCAGAAAGATCATAGTTGGCAGGAGACAGTGATCCAAAAGACCGTAGTTGGCAGGAGACTGGGGTCAGAAAGACCGTTGTATGTCAATATAGGTTGGAAGGACCGTAGTAGGGGATGGAGGTCAGAAGGATTATAGTCGACATGAGATAGGGGTCCGAATGACCATAGTTGGAAAGAGATATGGGGTCAGAAAGATTGTTGTCTGATGATGCAGGTCGGAAGGACCGTGGTAGGCGACGAAGGTCGAAAGGACCATAATTGGCAAGAGGCAGTGGTTGAAAAGACCGTGGTTGGTAGGAGATCTGGGTTGGAAAGACTGTTGTCTGGTGATTGAGGTTGGAAGGACTGTAGTAGGATACTGTGGTTGAAAGGATCATAGTCAGCAGGAGATAGGGGTTCGAAAGATCGTAGTAGTAGGGCAGTACTTCGGATGTGGCCCAATAGAAGTCCGGGTCCGGGCCTCAAGTGGTGGTCCAGCAGAACTTCGGGAGGTCAGATGGTGGTCCGATAGAACTCCGGGTGTTAGGTCGTGGTTTGGTAGAAGTTTGGGCCTCAGGTGGTGGTTTGGCATAAGTCCGAGCCTCAGTGGTGGTCTGACAGAAGTCCGGGCCTCATGTGGTGGTCCGGCATAAGTCCAGGTCTCAGGTGGTGGTCAATTACAAGTCCGGTGCTCAGGTGGTGGTCTGGCAGAAGTCTAGACATCGTGTGGTGATCCGCAAATCTTCTGGCATCAAGTAGTGGTCCGGTAGAGCTCAGGGCATCAAGTGGTGGTCTGGTGGAGCTCAGGGCCTAAAGTGGTGGTCCGGTGAAACTCCATGCAGTGGTCGAGGAGGAGCGAGGAGGCAAGAGCGATATCCGATATCTTTCTTGCTCTCTTCCTTGGAGCCCCCTTTCAAGAGGGAGGAGGGTCTATTTATAGATTTCTTAGAGTGGCATGATCCATAAATAGGATGAAGATCAAGGGCATATGGAGAGTGGCTTGGATGGATGTCCGATGTTGAATTCCTTGATTGTAGACCGTTTGATGGACATTTGAATGTCTTAGTGATGTAGAAATTCAATGATCTTGGGCTCGTTGGATTTGTCTCGTCGAGCCGCTCGATTTGACTATAAGCACATCAATTTTGGAAATCATTTGGAATCCAAATTATGGTTTGAACCCTCCAACTGTGCTTTCAGACCCATTTGGGCTCAGATTGAGTCGAATTTGGTGTCGTTGGGTTTGTATTCTCTAGACGTTCAGTTCGACTATAAATTTGCTGAAATCTGAGATCGTATGGTCCCAATCTTAATTACGAAAGTTTCCAACTTGATTTTTTCTCTATATCCGTGTCCGATCAAGCTAATATTTTGAGGATGTATAAAAACTATAAAAAAAAAAAGGCACCTCGCCTAAAAATCTCTCCTTTGGTTCAATAATATGGCTTTATTCACAATAACTGTGAATGAACTGTAAAAAAGTTGGATTAGGAGGCCTCACCGTAAAAAAAGTGGCCTTCCGAACCACAAATCCTTCTGTCAAGATCATGTCTACTTTGCTTAATTGCTTTTCTTTACATTCACCGTAAGGAGTTAGTGCAGTCCCGTGACCGTTGATTAATACCGACCGGCGCCGAAGTTATTACTCCACCCACACCTCACTCCTTTTTTCTCCCCCATCACCACTACAGTTTTCACTGAAGCTCTTTCCCCTCTCCTCTTGCTCCAGTCCAGTCATGGGAAGAAGAAGAACAAGTTGGCTCTCCTCTGTCAAGAAAGTCTTTAAGCCGAGCTCCAGAGAACACGACAAGGAGAGGGAGCAACACCCGGCTGAGGTTAAGGAGGAGGGCGCCTCGGCGCAGGAGACGCCGGAGATTGTTTCAGTTGACCAATTTCCGGTGGAAACGTCGCCCGAGGGGGCGACCAACTACGGAGGCAGAGGGAGCGCGGCGTCTCGGGGTGAAGATGAGGAGGACAGGGACCACGCAATCGCGGTGGCGTTAGTTTGGGTTAGCAACGCGGCTGCCGCCGAAGCTGCTAGGTAGCGGCGGCTACATGCGGCCGGCGAAGGTGGCTAGAGGCTGGCGGCGTACGGGCGGCCAGTCGAGGGAGGAGAAGGGCCGCTGCGGTCCTTCATCCAATCTATGTTTACAGAGGATGTTTGGTATGCTTTCTTTGATTGAAATTCTCACTTAGCGATATGTTTACATATTATTTTTTAAAACACTGAATATTAAATATAAATTCTCTTTTAATTATTTAACTTTAATAGCATCTCAATTTATTTTCGTACGATGCTAATCTAAAATTTATTTTTTTTTGTAAAGATTTTGGATCTTGTAAAAATAAAAAAAAAAATGATGCTTTTACACCTTTTAAAATTTTTATTTTTATTCTTAAATTAAAAAAGTGAGAAAATATTTATTGTTAATCATATTTCAACATTCTCAAGAGTCAATTATTTTTATTAATGTATATAATAAAATATTAAAAATAAATGAATGTGATCATGAATGGTAAAAGTCTCTGTGTCTATTGGTTAAAGAAATTGATTATAAATTGAAAAAATTATATTTTAAATTTATCATAATTTTTTATAAAAAAAAATAAATTTCTAAAAATAAGATGACCCACTTGCGCCACATCTTTTACGATATATAATTTTTTTAAATAATATCTAAATCTTCAAAAAAAAAAGAAAATATTATCTAAAATTAATTTGTATAGAGTTAAAAAACATAATTCATGCATATATTTTTTTTGATTTGACTTAGTCACTTAGATATTTTAAAGTGCCCTATTATTAACTATATATTAAATTTTAGGTATTAGATACATCGTAAAATCCCCCAATATCCTAAATATTATATTTAAATTAGAATTATTGTGTTGCCTAAGATATTCTTAAATAAACAGAAATATAATAATTTAAATCCCATTCTCATTTAAAAATAATTGAGGTGTTAGATTTATAATTTTCACATGAAATAGTGAAAATTATTAATTTAAATTAATGAGTCTCATAAATTTAAATTAATTTAAGATTAATATAAAAATATTAAACAATTGATTCGTACTTCACCATAAATATTAGATTAAAAATAAAGTTTACTTTTTAGCATGAAATTGAGCTCACCCTTTGCAGTCCCTAAATTCATTTAATTACCCCTTCAGCAACTCATATGGGCATCCCATTCTCCACTTACCAACACGGCAAAACTTGCATATGCTTCAATTTGTCCTCCCCTTTCTAAGAGCAGAGCTGGAACGAATGTGGACCACCATAACTGTGGTATTTTCTGTTCCTTAAAAAAGCAAATCAAATTCACAAAAATAAGCACCAAAATGTTTGCCTTTCAAGACACTCATAAATTCTTTTAGCCAAAAAAAAAAAAAAAAAAATCTTCCTTCTC